TGCTGCTGTACCACCGTCAGCTGCTGCTGCTGCTGTAGCATCGTCTGCTGCTGCTGTAGCATCGTCTGCTGCTGCTGTAGCATCGTCTGTTGCTGCTGTACCACCGTCAGCTGCTGCTGCTGCTGTAGCACCGTTGTTGGTGTGGCTTATTGAGAATACCAAGAAACAATTAACCCCAGAGGATTTGCCACCCAGGATAACCCAAAAAAGTCAGTGTCATAGAAGACTGTAACTTATTTCCATTGGGGTCCTTAATCTTGTCTCCCAGGATGCAACCCACACAAGTCGACTAACACCCAGGTGAACAGGGAAAAATGCCTGGAACTAGTGCTCATATTGGTGAATTTAAAGCCAGCAAAGGTTGGTTTGAGAGATTTAAGAATCGTAGTGGCATACACAGTGTGATAAGGCCTGTTCTGGAAGAAAATGCCAAACAGGACCTACAGTACTCAGGAGGAAAAGGCACTCCCAGGACACAGTGTCTCATCAGTCATTGCTGCATCTTCAATAAAGGTAAGTGTCATTTATTCTTCATTTAGTAGACTAGTACATGCACAATATATACTGTGCATGTACTACTCTACTATTGTGCATGTATCCTTCTCTTTGTGTGTGGGAAAATGTATATTTCATGTGGTAAAATTTTTTTTTTCATACTTTTGGGTGTCTTGCACGGATTAATTTTATTTCCATTATTTCTTATGGGGAAAATTCATTCGCATACCGATTATTTCGCATAACAATTACCCCTCTTGCACGGATTAAAATCGTTATGCGGGGGTCCACTGTATATGGAAATTAGGAGGTGTGGAGTTAATAAAAGTATTAGTCAGAGGGCTGAAGAGGGGTTGTTGAGGTGGTTTGGTCATTTAGAGAGAATGGATCAAAGTAGAATGACATGGAGAGCGTATAAATCTGTAGGGGAAGGAAGGCGGGGTAGAGGTCGTTCTCGAAAAGTTTGGAGGGAGGGGGTAAAGGAGGTTTTGTGGGCGAGGGGCTTGGACTTCCAGCAAGCGTGCGTGAGCGTGTTAGATAGGAGTGAATGGAGACGAATGGTATTTGGGACCTGACGATCTGTTGGAGTGTGAGCAGGGTAATATTAAGTGAAGGGATTCAGGGAAACCGGTTATTTTCATATAGCCGGACTTGAGTCCTGGAAATGGGAAGTACAATGCCTGCACTCTAAAGGAGGGGTTCGGGATATTAGCAGCTTGGAGGGATATGTTGTGTATCTTTATAGGTATATGCTTCTAAACTGTTGTGTTCTGAGCACCTCTGCAAAAACAGTGATTATGTGTGAGTGAGGTGAAAGTGTTGAATGATGATGAAAGTATTTTCTTTTTGGGGATTTTCTTTCATTTTTGGGTCACCGCCCAAATGAAAAGCCTGTAATTGTTTTACATGATGGTAGGATTGCTGGTGTCCTTTTTTCTGTCTCAAACATGCAAGATTTCAGGTACATCTTGCTACTTCTACTTACACTTAGGTCACACTACACATACATGTACAAGCATATATATACACGCCCCTCTGGGTTTTCTGGTATTTTTTTCTAGTTCTTGTTCTTGTTTATTTCCTATCTCCATGGGAAAGTGGAACAGAATTCTTCCTCCGTAAGCCATGCGTGTCGTAAGAGGCGACTAAAATGCCAGGAGCAAGGGGCTAGTAACCCCTTCTCCTGTATATATTACTAAATGTAAAAGGAGAAACTTTCGTTTTTCCTTTTGGGCCACCCCGCCTCAGTGGGATACGGCCAGTGTGTTGAAAGAAAGATATACTTCAATGCACCACTCACCTTTTTTCCTTCATCAATTCTGTGGTTTACCTCATCTTTCATAAATCCATCTGCTGACATGTCAACTCCCGAATATCTGAAAACATTCACTTCTTCCATATTCCTCCTCTCCAATTTTATATCAAATTTTTCTTTATCTAAATCATTTGATACCCTCATCACCTTACTCTTTTCTATGTCCACGTTCAACTTTCTACCTTTACACTCTCTCCCAAACTCGTCCATTAACCTTTGCAACTTTTCTTTAGAATCTCCCATAAGCACAGTATCATCAGCAAAAAGTAACTGTGTCAATTCCAATTTTGTATTTGATTCCCCATAATTTAATCCCACCTCTCTCCCCAACACCCTAGCATTTATTTCTTTTACAACCCCATCTATAAATATATTAACACTTTCAGGGTCCAGAGGCCAAATTTCATAGTGTGCACCAGGGTCCAAGAACTTAAAAAAAAAAAATGTTATTTTTTCTTATGAAATGGTAGAGAATCTTTTTCTGAAGGTAATAAAACAAAAAGTAAGAAATTTAATGGAAAATTGACGAAATTATGCTCTCATGAATTTTGATGTGTCAGTGATATTTATGCATCAGTGATTTTGCTGACTTTGACTCCCATTTTAAGCCAATTACCTCATTCCAGTCAACCAAATTCTTAGCTATTTTACTAGTATTATGTTTATTCTATCGATTGAGCACAAGAAATCGCCAAGTCAACTGTTTCAACTACAAAACAAAGTGATTGGAAATTGGTAATTTTGCCAATTTAACACAAAGTTCAAAATATTCCAATTTCAAATTGAGTCCAGAATAAACAATGCAGGCATTCCTGGCTCTAAACTAACATTTCCTCTGTTCATTAGTTATATTTTCAGGCGTTACAAATGAATTCCATTTTGATTTTTTATTCACATAATGAATTTTTATTCAAATCAAAAAATAGAAGATTTACTGTTATGCAATATTGTAATTATTGTATAAATAATATCACCACATTTTTGAACACATATTAGACCCACCAGAGGGTGTGTATTAGATGTGCGAGGCCATTTGTTTACTCTTGAACATTGGCAAAAATTTAACATTTCTGCTACTTTGAGCTCAGTTTCAAGCCATTTCCAGTACTAAAACCAATCAAAATCATCTCTATTTCTGTAATATAACTTCAATTCTATCAAATGAGACCAAGAAATTGCAAATAAAAAACATATGAAAAAAACATTGCAAAGTCGCAGTTTTTTCTCTCATTATACACTGTGTGCTGCAGGATTTGTTTTATGTGGTACACACATACCACATAGATGTATTCTCTCATATCTAGGCCCAAATTTACAGCTCACAGCTTATCAGAGTGAACTGAGTTCATGGCATAGATCTACGGTTTGGACCCTCAACTCAAAGCCATAGAACTACGGCACGGACCCAGAAAGGGTTAAACAACCATGGTGACATTACACATCCCTATCTAAGACATACTTTACCGGGAAGTAGTCTCCCTCTCTTCTACACACCCTACCTGAGCCTCATTATCCTCATAAAAACTCTTTACAGCATTTAGTAACTTACTACCTATTCCATATACTACTTGCAACATCTGCCACATTGCTCCCCTATCCACTCTATCATATGCCTTTTCTAAATCCATAAATGCAATGAAAACTTCCCTACCTTTATCTAAATACTGTTCACATATATGCTTCAATGTAAACTCTTGATCTACACATCCCCTACCCACTCTAAAACCTCCTTGCACATCCACAATCCTACATTCTGTCTTACCTCTAATTCTTTCAATAATAACCCTCCCATACACTTTTCCTGGTATACTCACTAAACTTATTTCTCTATAATTTTTACAATCTCTTTTGTCCTCCTTCCCTTTATATAAAGGGACTATACATGCTTTCTGCCAATCCCTAGGTACCGTCCCCTTTTCATACATTTATTAAACAAAAATACCAACCACTCAAACACAACATCCTCCCCTGCTTTTAACATTTCTGTCATGATCCTGTCAGTTCCAGCTGCTTTACTCCCTTTCATTCTACATAATGCCTCATGCACCTCCCCCACACTCACATCCTGCTCTTCTTCACTCCTAAAAGATGGTATACCTCCCTGGCCAGTGCATGAGATTACCGTCTCCCTTTCTTCGTCGACATTTAAAAGTTCTTCAAAATATTCCTGCCATCTACCCAATACCTCCATCTCCCCATCTACTAACTCCCCTACTCTGTTTTTAACTGACAAATCTATTCATTCCCTAGGCTTTCTTAACTTGTTTATCTCACTCCAAAATTTTTTCTTATTTTCATCAAAATTTCTTGACAGTGCCTCTCCCACTCTATCATCTGCTCTCCTTTTACACTCTCTCACCACTCTCTTCACCTTTCTTTTACTCTCCATATACTCTGCTCTTCTTATAACACTTCTGCTTTGATAAAGTTTAATTGGTAAATTATGCAAAATAAGCTAGAATTAGCACTTTTTCACTGATGAGAAGCATTTCAGATTCTCTTAGGCTTTGAAGAACTGCCAGCATCACTACTTTTGCACTTTGGGGCCATTATTAAGCAAAATTAAGGGTCATTTTTGGGCCATGATAAACCGTGGATAACTAACACAGCGGATACCGAATCAGTGGATACGGGGTCCTACTGTACTTTAATTCCTATAGTAAAGATTAAGGCAAACTCTCAGCATATAAACAATGTGAGACATACACCTCATGGTGTACATATTCTGTGAATGTCATTTAAAATCTGTTACTTTCTATCGTTTGTTTGAAATATAATGATAAATTTCAAGACAAATTTTGCAAGAAGCATCTTATAAGACAGAATTAAAAGTTACTTTTTGGGCAAAATTTTTTTTTTTTTTTTTTTTATTTTTTTTTTTTAGCTGGAACCATGACTTTTTTCAAAGCTGTCCATAAAGGTACCCTTTTTTAGGACCAACCTATGATGCTGAAAGAGGCTTAGTCATAGTCATGAAAGAGGCCTGGTCATGGATGGGGCTGCAAGGGCACTGACCCCCAGAACACCCTCCAGGTACACTGCATTTGCAAGGTCACTTCTTCAGTACATAATTACAGTTGAATACTTGTTCAGTATTCAATGTATGCATATAAAGAATAAGTATTTTTCGACCTTTGGTTATGTTTAATGATAAATCTGCTCAAAATTAACAATCAAACAGATTACTTACTTCCAAGTGTTCCTAACTGCTGTGACACCTTGACGGTACCAGCGCTCTTCGACCCAATCTTCATCCAACGGGTCCTCACAATTGTAGTAAGCTACCAGCTCAAGAAGTTCCTGGTAAACATTATCACTTAACTCTGAAGCAGAATAATACATAGGAAAATGGAAATTCTATTTTGTATTAATGATGATAAATACACAGCATATGTTTTCTCTCACTTATTTCAAAAACAGTAAAGAAAATATTCATTTTGCATGAAATTATAAAATTATTTATAAAGTATTTATAAAGAAGAGAGATTTAAGTGTGAGAAATCAAATCTAGTGAGCACATTTTAGTTGAAATCCAAATGACGGTTTTCTATTTAGGGTCATGTGAATACAGAAAATGGACACTAAAAAATAAAAATTTCTTGATATATATGGACCAAAATAATATAAGTATACCACATGTACCAAACAACCAAATGCAAAAAGAGGAACGTATTTAGTATAAAAACGTGAGTAAAATAATTGAAAAAAATACTTTCATTGTAAACGTATATCATAATAAAAGAATTGTCACATTTACACTGAGTCACCTGCAGAGAGCAGCTGTGACAAAACTCACATTTAAAGGATAACACTATTAAAACTTACCAATGCCTTTAGACTGAGAGAGTTGATAGACAGTAATGGCATCTGACACAGAACACTTTTGGATTAGCTCTCGAAGAGTTTCTTCACTCAAATTGCTTTCCTCGTTGTATGTCATTTTAGGAAAGAATGCCTGAAAAGAAATTTATCTTTAAAATATTGAAGATACTCACTTGATTCTTTCATCAGTTTCAATTCAAAAGGTCTACTTTAAAAGTTATTATCACTAGAAAGCATTTTAAGGTCAGTTACTTCTATGTATAGGAATACATTAGAGACCTGTACTGTGCATAATAATGATATAATAATGGTATTATACACAATATTGTCAGCAGATGGGTTTATGAAGGATGAGGTTAACCATAGAATTGATGAAGGAAAAAAGATGAGTGGTGCACTGAGATATCTGTGGAGACAAAAAATATTATCTGTGGAGGCAAAGAAGGGAATGCAAGAAAGTATAGTGGTACCAACACTCTTACATGAGTGTGAAGCTTGGGTTGCAAATGCTGCAGCGAGGAGGTGGCTGGAGACAGTGGAGATGTCCTGTCTAAGGGTAATGTGTGGTGTAAATATTATGCAGAGAATTTGGAGTGTGAAAATTAGGGGGTGTGAAGTTATTAAAAGTATTAGTCAGAGGGCTAAAGAGGGGTTGTTAAGGTGGTTTGGTTATTCAGAGAGAACGGATCAAAGTAGAATGACATGGAGAGCATATAAATCTGTAGGGGAAGGAAGGTGGGGTAGGGGTCATCCTCAAAAAGGTTGGAGGGAGGGGGTAAAGGAGGTTTTGTGGGCGAGGGGCTTGGACTTCCAATAAGCACGTTTGAGTGTGCTAGATAGGAGTAAATGGAGATGAATGGTTTTTGGGACCTGACGAGCTGTTGGAGTGTCAGCAGGGTAATATTTAGTGAAAGGATTCAGGGAAACCGGTTATTTTTATATAGCCAGACTTGAATGTTGGAAATGGGAAGTACAATACCTGCACTTTAAAGGAGAGATTTGGGATATTGGCAGTTTGGAGGGGCATGTTATATATGCTTTTAAACTGTTGTATCTGGGCACCTCTGCAAAGATAGTGATAATGTGTGAGTGAGGTGAAAGTGTTGAATGATGATTTAAGTATTTTCTTTTTGGGGATTTTCTTTCTTTTTGGGTCGTCCTGCCTCAGTGGGAGACAGCAGACTTGTTGAAAAAAAAAATTATATATGGAACATTCAACTTTTGCAATACATCCATCAATATATTCATCCAGATTTTAAATTGTTTGCTAAAACATAGAGGGTGTGAGGCAGAGTCGAATGCAGGAGTAATTACATATAAAAGATTGGAAGACAATGTATATAAATAAAACTATGAGGGAATCGAAGACCAACCCAAAGGGTTTCCTTCAGGAATATAGAAATAAATTAGGGAAAAGATAGGTCCACTAAATGTAACTCAGGTCAGCATACAGTTAGTGACAGAGAAATGTGTACCCTTTTTAACACTTATATTTTTTCTATTTTTACACAAAATAAATGAAATCACAGAAATCAATAATTTTAGAAGTAAAGGCAAATAAATTATGCAAGATTAGTCACTAGTGGTATGGTCCTCAAAGAAATAAACAAGTTAAAATCAAATAAATCAATAGGCCCTGATGAATTGTTTTCAGTCAGTAACTGTGAATGAAATTTGATGCCACCTTGAAAAACATAATTTAATCAATGAATCATAGCATGGTTACAAATTTACTAACCATATTTACTAAGAGATTTGAAACAGTAGATCAAAATAAAGAATTATTATTTCTTTACCCTATCCACGTGTTCGAACCCCACATGATAAATGGTGGCAACGGTGTGGGAGCGAGGAATTAAGCTTTTTTAAGGGTATTTCAAGATGTTAGAAGACTGTTTGTGAGTAGCCGGCGGGTCAAAGGTGAACCGTAGCTAGCCGCTTACCCTCACTCACCACCTCCACCCTGTACTCCAGCCTGCAAGCCTGTTGCAGCTGTTTTTCAAGCTTCCTGGCTTAGTTCGTGTGCTAATTGCTTCAATCTCCGAGGGGTTGACCCGGATTTTGCAATTAAGCCAGTCAGTAAGCCAGACTGTGGAAGTGAACGCTAGTCAGCCTGCAGCCTACCATCCAGCCTGTCTCCTGTCATCCCACCGCTGCCACCATTTATCATGTGGGGTTCGAACACGTGGATAGGGTAAAGAAATACTCACGTAGGCTGAAAGGACGTATATTACGGATAATGTGGGAAGCGCCAAACAGCCGGTGACCTGCCTCCTTGCTCTCTCTCGTAAGACTGACTAACCCCAGTACCCATATGTGAGGGGGGTGTTTGAATACTGCTGTGGTCAGCAACAATATGAATACAGACAGTGATTCACGCAGAGACGGTTGGTAGTGAGTCATCTACTGGTACACTGGTTACTGGTTGGTTACTGGAACTGGTACTACTACTGAGACATGTACTATATGGATTTCAATAAGGCCTTTAATAGGGTGCCACACAGGAGGGTGTCGATGAAAAAAGCAGCACACAGAATAGGTGGAGAAATTATCTCCTGGATCAAGGCATGGTTGTCCAGTAGACAACAGTTTGCATATATGGGGAGAATTCAGAGTAGGGACTTGTTACCCAATAATGTTCCACAGGAGCCAGTACTGGGTCCTTGGTGTTCACAATATACATAAATGACTTAGAAGAGGGAATAAATAACAATACAAGCAAGTTTGCTGATGACACCAAAATAGCCTGTCAAAAAAATTCTGATGACACAACAGAACTACAGAGTGACCTAGATAGGTTGATGTTGTGGTTGGAGAAATGGCAGATGCAGTTTTATGTAGACAAATGTAAGGGTCTATTACCGGAAAAAAGAAAATTAACTATAGTACCTATAAACTAAACAATGCTTAGTAAATAAGTGTTCACAATAAATCTAATAGAATTCTTGGCTTCATATCAAAGAGCATAAATAATAAAAGTCCTCAGGTTATACTTCAACTTTACAAATCCTTGGAAAGGCCTTATTTAGATTATGCTACAAGTTCTGGTTTCCATATTGCACAATGGACATAAATATGCTAGAAAATGTACAGAGAAAGATAACAAAGTTAATCCTAAGGATGTATCGGAAATCTTTCCTACAAGGATAGACTGAGGGCACTGTATCTGTATTCACTGGAAAGGTATAGAATTAAGGATATGGCTGAAGTATTAAAATGGATGACAGGAATCAATAAGGGGATATAACATGCTGAGAATATCTACCCAAGATAAGATTCGCAGCAATGGGTTCAAGTTTGAAAAAATAAGTAGAAAGGATGCAGGAAAGAACTAGTTTAGCAATAGAGCTATACATATGTAGAACAAACTCCCGAGCAGCATCACTGAAACGAGAACCTCAGGTAGGTTCAAATAAGGTTGGACAAATACACAAGTGGGTGTGGATGGATTCAAGTTGGATCTGCCTAGCAGTGTTCCTCTTTTCTTATGTTCATTCCTATGTTGCACTAGTAAATTTTAAAATACCAGGTATATGGATGGAAATGTGCCTAAAAGTTGTTCATAACTTGCTTACAAAACTTGCAATGCTCAAATAATAATCAAAGAAAGAAGAAACTTTCAAGTTTCTAATTTTCAATATTCACCTCAATAAAAGGATCATCTGGCCGATGAGTGAAAAAAGCAGCATTTTCATCACGTATCCATCTTGCAGCCTTGCGTCCTGCTTCTTTTGAGAGGGAGAATACACGCTTGGAAAGGTTGGATCCAGGTGTTAGATATGGATCATCATGATACTTGTAATGTGGTCCTGATGAGTCCCGACTCACCGTACTTGCCAATGCCTAAAACAATATTTCCTCACATAAGTCATCTTAAGAACAAAGAATCAAAACATCTAAATATAGGAGGAAAACAAAATAATAGTAAACTGGATATACTTTTTACACTGACAGCTGATTGGAATAGATTCTAAGAGGAGGTAACATGTACAACTTCCATTAGAAGCATTAAAAATTTGATAAATTTATTATAGACAGAACACCATTAGCAAGTTCAACTCCATTAACTAGAGATACAGTACAGTACTAGATTTTCATTTTACCTCAACAGCCATCTCCCACCAACGCAGGGTGACCCAAAGAAAAAAAAAACATCATTTAGTCATTCTATCACTTTTTCCAGAAGTGTGCTGACATCAAAATTCAGATCACTTTTTGACTGCAACATCCCTACCCCTCCTTCAGAGCACAGGCACTGCCCTTCCCACCTCTAGAGCTCAAGTTGAGTACTGAACATAATAACAAATAAACAGTATTACTATAATCAGGATGAAGAGTTAAACCCATAGGGGTCAAATGGTGCATGAGGAATGGTAGGCAATTAGATTCAATCCAAGGGAAAGATAGGTCCAGTTCTCTGGATCAAGAGATCCTCACAGGCATCAGAGCAGCTAGCTTGAGGGGTACAAGTATAGTAGGTTATTACAATCTATACCCATTGCCTTTACCCAAGCACTTTGAAAAAGTGGCATGGGTGTGGCTTACTTTAACTCACTACACCCACAGTACACAGCCTTAGTACAGTGGAACCTCAAATTTCAAACATATCACTTATCGAACTTTTCAAAAATCGAATGCTTTTTTCAAACCAACTTTGTCCCTATTATCGAACTCGCCCCTATTTTTGAACCGCCAGGTACCAGACCTGTCCGGCAGCCCGCTCTGTCCGTGTCCCCGAGCAGGCGCCGTGAGCCAGTCTGGTTTTGTTGATGCTTGAGTGAACACTAACTTGCGCTCTCATTCAAACATTTTACAATTATTTCATTGTGTTTAGTACTAAGCTTGTGGGACTGTGATATAAGCTACCATGGGCCCAAAGAAACTTGCTAGTGGTACCCCTGTGGTAAAGAAAGTGAGAAACACCATAGATGTGAAGAAGGAAATAATACAGAAGTATGAGAGTGGTGTGAGACTCGTTGAGCTTGTCAGAATGTACAAAGGACTGTGGACAGTTATTTTGTGAGACAAATACAGATGACTGTGAACAGTTATTTTGTGAGACAGAAACAGACAACTGTGGACAGTTATTTTATGAGACAGAAACAGAGGACTGTAGACAGTTATTTTGTGAGACATGGGTCCAGTGACTCTTAAGCTGGTCCTAGTGGCATTAAAATACAGAGAAGGGAAGTAACCCCAGAGAGGGCTTTGATACCTGAAGTCTTCATGGAGGGGGATTCTCCTTCCAAACAATAACCCCAACTCTCTTTGTCCTCCTCCCTATCTTCCAGATGCCATCACCAATATTCAATAAAGGTAAATATGTTTATTTAAATTTACTAATATGTTTATTTAAATTTATTAATGCATAATTGAACACCATAATTGTTGTGTGTATGTAAAACTACAGTGGACCCCCATCTTATGATATTAATCCGTTCCTGAGAGCTCATCGCAAGCCGAAATTATCGTAAGGCGAATTAATTTTCCCCATAAGAAATAATGGAAATCAAATTAATCCGTTCCTGACACCCCAAAGTATGAAAAAAAAAATTTTACCACATGAAATATTAATTTTAATACACACAAACTGAAGAAGACATGCACAATTACTACTCTACTAAGAACAGAATACATGACACTTACCTTTATTGAAGATCTGGTGATGATTGATGGGATGGGAGGAGGGGAGAGTGTGGAAGTTGATATTGTTTAGAAGGGAAATCCCCTTCCATTAGGACTTGAGGTAGCAAGTCCTTTTCTGGGGTTACTTCCCTACTTCTTTTAATGCCACTAGGACCAGCTTGAGAGTCACTGGACCTCTGTCGCACAACAAATCTGTCCATAGAGCTCTGTACCTCCCGTTCCTTTAAGACTTTCCTAAAATGGGCCATAACATTGTCACTGTACAGGTTGCCAACACGACTTGTAGTAGCTGTGTCAGGGTGATTTTCATCTGCAAAGGTTTGCAGTTCAACCCACTCTGCACACATTTCCTTAATCTTTGAAGTAGGCAACTTCCTCAATTTCTCTCTCCCCTCCTCTGAAGCAGTTTCCTCAGGTCTGGCCTCTTGCTGTTGAAGATGATCTTGCAGCTCTTCAGTGATTAGTTCTTCATTGTCCTCCTCCACCAGCTCTTCCACATCCTCCCCACTAACCTCCAACCCCAAGGACTTCCCCAATGCCACAATGGATTCCACAACTGGCATATGCTTCTCAGGGTTAGTCTCAAACCCTTCAAAATCCCTTTCTTCTACACATTCTGGCCACAGTTTCTTCCAAGCAGAGTTCAAGGTCCTCTTAGTCACTCCCTCTCAAGCCTTACCTATAAGGTTTAGAGTCAATCGAGTGTCTGAGGTCACTTTTGAAACATAGCTTTTGTGTGGTTTTTTGAAGTTTGAAATGACCTGCTGCTCCATGGGCTGCAGGAGAGGAGTGGTATTAGGGGCAAAAACTTGACCTTAATGAAGCTCATGTCCCCAGAAAGTCATTCTGCCAAGTCTGAAGAATGACCAGGAGCATTGTCTAATACCAGGAGGCACTTAAGGTCCAATTTCTTTTCCATTAGGTAATTTTTCACATTGGGGGCAAATGCATGGTGTAACCAGTCACAGAAAAGGTCCCTAGTGACCCATGCCTTACTGTTTGCCCTCCACATCACACACAAATTAGCCTTGAGGACACTGTTTTGCCTGAATGCTCTGGGAGTTTCAGAGTGATACACCAATAAAGGCTTCACTTTGCAATCACCACTAGCATTAGCACACATCAGAAGAGTAAGCCTGTCTTTCATAGGCTTATGCCCTGGGAGTGCCTTTTCCTCCTGAGTAATGTAGGTCCTGCTTGGCATTTTCTTCCAAAACAGGCCTGTTTCATCGCAATTAAACACTTGTTCAGGTTTCAATTCTTCACTGTCTATGTACTCCTTGAATTCCTTCACATATTTTTCAGCCGCTTTTTGGTCCGAACCGGCAGCCTCACCGTGCCTTATCACACTATGTATGCCACTACAATTCTTAAATCTCTCAAACCAGCCTTTGCTGGCCTTAAATTCACTCACATCACCACTAGTTGCAGGCATTTTTCTAATTAAAACGTCATGAAACTTACTAGCCTTTTCACATATGATCGCTTGAGAGATGCTAGATGTTATCTCCTGCTATCTGTTTCTTATTTATCCACACCAATAAGTCTCTCAACATCTTCTATCACTTGCGATCTCTGTTTCAAAAACAAACTTGCACCTTTTGCAAGAACAGCTCCCTTGACTGCCGTTTTGTTGGCCAAGATAGTAGCGATGGTTGATTGGCGTTTGGTATACAGCCTGGCCAGCTCTGAGACACGCACTCCACTTTCGTACTTCGCTATTATCTCTTTCTTCATTTCCATAGTAATTTTCACCCTTTTTACCACAGGGTTAGCACTAGAAGCTTTCTTGGGGCCCATGGTAACTTATTTTGCAGCTACAAGCACTAAAAACACTGTGATAATATGAAATGTACCGAATGTATGCTTAGATGCGACCGCACTGGCTGGCTTGTAAACACTGGCACACACGGGGCAGCTGAGGCCACGCGTGGGACGTGTCCCGGACGAATCACGTGAGGCGAGTTTTTTATCGTGAGGCGAGGCAAAATTTTTGCGTTCAAATGCTTCGTATGGCGGATTTAACGTAATGTGATGCGTTTGTAAGGCGGGGGTCCACTGTATAAATAATCTCCATAAAATGTATATTTTTTGTGAATATTTTTGAGTTTCTGGAACAGATTAATTGTATTTCCATTACAGTGGACCCCCGGTTAACGATTTTAATCCGTGCAAGAGGGGTAATTGTTATGCGAAATAATCGTTATGTGAATGAATTTTCCCCATAAGAAATAATGGAAATAAAATTAATTCGTGCAAGACACCCAAAAGTATGAAAAAAAAAAATTTTACCACATGAAATATACATTTTCCCACACACAAAGAGAAGGATACATGCACAATAGTAGAGTAGTACATGCACAGTATATATTGTGCATGTACTAGTCTACTAAATGAAGAATAAATGACACTTACCTTTATTGAAGATGCAGCAATGACTGATGAGACACTGTGTCCTGGGAGTGCCTTTTCCTCCTGAGTACTGTAGGTCCTGTTTGGCATTTTCTTCCAGAACAGGCCTTATCACACTGTGTATGCCACTACGATTCTTAAATCTCTCAAACCAACCTTTGCTGGCTTTAAATTCACCAATATGAGCACTAGTTCCAGGCATTTTTCCCTGTTCACCTGGGTGTTAGTCGACTTGTGTGGGTTGCATCCTGGGAGACAAGATTAAGGACCCCAATGGAAATAAGTTAGACAGTCTTCGATGACACTGACTTTTTTGGGTTATCCTGGGTGGCAAATCCTCTGGGGTTAATTGTTTCTTGGTATTCTCAATAAGCCACACCAACAACGGGCTACAGCAGCAGCAGCAGCTGACAGTGCAGCAGCAGCAGCAGCTGTACCACCAATAGTAGCGATGGTTGATTGGGGTTTATTATACAACCTGGCCAGCTCGGAGACATGCACTCCACTTTCATACTTATCAATGATCTTTTTCTTCATCTCTATTGTAATTCTCACCCTTATTGCTGTAGGGTTGGCACTAGAAGCTTTCTTGGGGCCCATGGTCACTTATTTTCCAGAAAAAGCACCGAAAACACTGTAATAATACGAAATATTCCGATTGTATGCTTGGATGTTACCGCGGAGGCTGGCTGGTAAACAATGCCACCGGCGGAACATGTGAGCGTGGCTCAGGCCGCGTCTCGGACGAAAATCGGTAAGCGGGTTTTTAAGCGGTATGTGAGGCAAAATTTTTGCGATTAAAGTAAGCGGTATGCGAAATAATCGCTATGTGATGCCATCGTTATGCGGGGGTCCACTGTATTTCTTATGGGAAATATTGCTTTGCTTTTCTGACTTTTCGAATTTGGAACTAGCTCCTGGAACGGATTAAGTTCGATATTTGAGGTTCCATTGTATATATATGTTAGATAAACTTAAAGTCTTGATATAACTCCACCTGAATCTTATTATGCACATTATAGCTCTATGTAACAAGACATTGCTTTACATTTATACAGCACATTACCTCAAGGATTGCTGTGGGTGACCTTGGTATTCTGTTTGGAATGACAATTTTCTCACTGCTGAGTTGTGATGAAGATGCCACATCATGACAAAAAGTGCTGAGGAGGTGACAGAAAATAAATGATTATGGTATAAAACAACACACTATAATAAGAATGCAGAGTTTTTAATAATAATAATAATAATAATAATAATAATAATAATAATAATAATAATTATTATTATTATTATTATTATTATTATTATTATTATTATTATTACAGTGATACCTCGCATATCCAGCTTGCCATTATCTGAAGCTCGCCAATATCCGAACAGGCCCTAAGAAAGGGCAAATTCTAAAATTATTACTGAAATATCCGAACAGCCGATCGGTTATGGCAGAAGGCTGAATCAAACTTGATGTGCGCTTTAATGTACCGGTTGGCCACTAGGAGCCACACTCTTCGCCTTCCTTTTAGCATTATTACAGCTGTGTTTTGTCCTAGCTATCTTGTGTATGGCACAAAAGAGGGACAGGAATGTGCTTACTCTAGGAAATAAAAGAGGGAAATATTGTCGCACGTGGATGCAGGTTGGTCCAAGACTGGGGAGAAAACTACAGAAGACGATGTGCTGGACTGGCTAGCGTGTGACAAAGATGACCCTGGTGTGCAATCTCTGACGGATGCAGAGAGTGCACAATCAGTGTTGCACCCGGAACATTCTGAACGTGACGACGACGGCCCAATCCCCCCCCCCAAGACCAAAAACTTCAGCATCAAGGGCAGGTGTTGAAACACTTTTGGAGTATTTGGAGCATCCACTGTCCACAGCCCATTTGAAAAGTTATGGTCCTGTGGTCTGTGAAATCCGGGAGGCTGTTACTCAAGCCCAGTATGTCTGGTCCCACCGCCAGACGATGGCGATACGACGGGGTACAAATGGTGATATGATGGTACAGATGCGCATTTTTTTCCTCCTCACATATCCAGAAACTCTATGTTTCCAAACCGGTCTTGGCCCATATAGTTCGGATATGTGAGGTATCACTATTATTATTATTATTATTATTATTATTATTATTATTATTATTATTATCATCATCATCATCATCATCATCATCATACAATACCTTACAAAATACAGCATTTATTGATACAGTGGACCCCCGCATAACGATCAGCTCCCAACTCGACCAATTATGTAAGTTTATTTTTGTAAGTGCTTTTGTAGGTGTATTTTTAGGGGTCTGAAATGGACTAATCTAATTCACAATATTTCTTATGGGAACAAATTCGGTCTATAACGGCACCCAAACAGACTTCTGGATTGAAATACTATCGTTATGCGGGGGTCCACTGTATTATAAGTTTGCATAGTGAGGTACTACTGCAACTGTAGTTGTAATTTGAGTTATAAATCATTATTAATAAATGGAAAACAGGATAAAAATAGTAAATACAGATAACAGTCAGAATTGCAACAGGAATTTTTTTACCCTAAATATAAGTATTTTGCATTCTGAATTTAATAATTACAAAAAGTAATGTTTTATGATAGCCTTTGACTAGGGTATCCTTATAATTCTTCAAATGAAACTTAAGTCATTTTTGGTTCTAATTGTTTTATAAGAAATCAGACCAGCATTATTTGGCTACCCTATCAAAGTAATATTTTACAAGTCAAAAAATTTGATCCATTGATGAGGATTATTATTATTATTATTATTATTATTATTATTATTATTATTATTATTATTATTATTATAGGAGAAGCACTAAACCCCTATGGATTATACATCACCTATGGAAATGGGAGGCAATCAGGTTCGATCCATGTGAGGGGAGAAGGGGACAAGTTCAATTCCTTGGATCAAGAGTTCCTCACCACAGTGTCCCAAGGCTAAGTTGGCAACACTCTCACCTCACACACTGAGTGTCCATGGTTCAATCCCCAACATGAGTGGAAATGGGCATATTTCCATACACCTGCTGTCCCTTTTCATCTAGCAGAAAGTAGGTCCCTGGGTGTTAGTCAACTGGTGTGGGTCGCATCCTGGGGAACAAGACTGAAGGGCCCCCAGTGGAAATAGGACAGACAGTCTTCGATGGCACACTGACTTTCTTGTGTTATCCTGGGTGGCTAACCCTGTGGGTTAAAATTCCAAACAAATCTTTATCTTGCCTTATCAAGGAACCATCCATGATTCTTGATCCAATAACCTGGATCAAGAATCAATCACTAATATGAAGGTACTCCACAGGAGAGTGATGAGGATATCATCAAGCGTTCAACAGTGGTTCCAGTAGCTACGGTAGCTACTGGTAGCTAGTTACTCTTATATGTATAGAGATTACCATTTTAGACAGCATATCACACAAATTTAGTGCTAGATAACACCATCTCTTTTTTATTTATATTTTATTAGTTTATATAATACAACAGACATACAGTACATGTATAGGATTATGAGTTTATATATACAACTCTCAATTTAAAGACTGGGAAATATGGGACATAATCCACTGGGCCAATTCAGAAACAATAAACAAAGTTTATTCATTACAGAATTATTAGTTATCATTACAGTAAGGGAAAACAATCTAATCTCTGTTAGGTAAAAGGACATGTGAAACTAATGTGACTTTTATTGTGGCAAAGTTTCACTCTCCAGGAGCGTTGTCAAGCCATTATCAGTTTGATAAAACTCCTGGAGGGCAAAACATTGCCACAATAAAATGTAACATTGGTTGCATGTGTCCTTTTTCCTAAGTAAGTGAGTTTTTTCAGGTACAGGTACACATAAATACACTTACATAAATTATCATACATAGCAGCATATGTGTAGATTATCTAGAATAACCCAAAACATTCAAAGTGACTTTTAGCCGTGCTGTCGGTAATTCTACCAACATTATCACAATCTAATCTCTACAATGGATATAGCCCCACTCCATAAAGGTGGCAGCAAAGCATTAGCTAAGAACTATAGACCAATAGCTCTGACGTCTCACATCATAAAAATCTTTGAAAGATCGCTAAGAAGCAGGATTGCAAATCATCTGGATTCCCAAAATCTGCACAATCCAGGGCAACATGGGTTCAGGGCAGGTCGCTCCTGCCTCTCACAACTACTGGATCACTATGATATGGCCTTGGATGCACTGGAAGAAAATCAGAATGCAGATGTAATATACACAGACTTTGCAAAAGCGTTTGACAAATGCAATCATGGCGTAATAGCGCACAAAATATGTGCTAAAGGAATAACTGGGAAAGTGGATAGATGAATCTTCAACTTCCTAACAAATCGAACACAAAGAGTAGTGGTCAACAGAGTTAAATCGGAGGTTGCCATAGTGAAGAGCTCTGTTCCACAAGGCACAGTACTTGCCCCATCTTATTCCTCATCCTCATATCAGACATAGACAGAGATATACACCACAGCACCGTATCATCCTTTGCGGATGATACTAGGATCTGCATGAGGCTGTCATCTGCTGAGGACGCGGTTAACCTCCAAGAAGATATAAACAAAGTTTTCCAGTGGGCAACGGAAAACAAAACGATGTTCAACGAGGACAAATTCCAACTACTCCGTTATGGAAAACTGGAGGAGATAATAACTAGAGCAAAGTATACTACAGACTCTGGCCATACAATAGAGCGGAAAAATAATGTAAGGGACCTGGGAGTAGTAATGTCTGAGGATCTCACTTTCAAGGATCACAACAGTGCCATGATCACAAGTGCAAAGAAAATGATAGGATGGATAATGAGAACATTCAAAACAAAGAGATGCCAAGCCAATGATGATCCTTTTCAAATCACTTGTTCTCTCTAGGCTGGAATACTGCTGTACATTAACATCTCCATTCAAAGCAGGTGAAATTGCAGATCTAGAGAGTGTACAGAGATCCTTTACTGCACATATAAGTTCTGTCAAGCACCTTAACTACTGGGAACACTTGGAAGCACTTGACTTGTACTCGTTGGAATGCAGGAGAGAGAGATACATGTATATCATAATCTACACTTGGAAAATCCTGGAAGGAATGGTCCCGAATCTGCACACAGAAATCACTCCCTACGAAAGTAAAAGACTGGGCAGGCGATGTAAATTACCTCCAATTAAAAGTAGGGGCGCCATTGGTACACTAAGAGAAAACACCATAAGTGTCCGGGGCCCAAGACTGTTCAACAGCCTCCCATCAAGCATTAGGGGAATTACCAATAAACCCCTGGCTGCCTTCAAGAGAGAGCTGGACAGATACCTAAAGTCAGTGCCAGATCAGCCAGGCTGTGGCTCGTAAGTTGGACTGCGTGCCGCCAGCAGTAACAGCCTGGTTGATCAGGCCCTGATCCACCAGGAGGCCTGGTCATGGACCGGGCCGCGGGGGCGTTGATCCCCGGAATAACCTCCAGGTAACCTCCAGGTAACCAGGTACCCATCACAATCACAGTAAACAGCAACGCGCTCCCCAGCCACCTTTATCCCATTAAATCAAGGGTGTACTGCAATATTTTATTAATTTTGGTAGATTTACTGACAATATGTTAAGTAAAAGGACACAAGTGCAACTAATTTTACATTTTATTGTAGCAACGTATTGCTCTCCAGGAGCTTTATAAAACCATTACAAACAATACATGGACACAGAGGGTATATATAGGCTTAGAGTATGGTGTAATACTAGTGGTAGTACTAGTAGTAATATTAGTTATATTACTACTACTGCTACTACTACTACCACTACTACTACTACTGCTACTATCACTAGTATTACACGTCACTCTAAGCCTATACTATATACCCTCTGTGTCCATGTATTGTTTGCAACGGCTTGATAAAGCTCCTGGAGAGCGAAACGTTGCAACAATAAAATGTCACATTAGTTGCATTAGTGTCCTTTTACCTAACAATATAATTTTAGTATTACTCAGAGTTTAAATCTGCCCAAACTGTTAGGCATAACTATGGCCTTTCCCTTGTAAGATATACTATATAGTTACACTATTATTGTAACTTATTTATCTATATGTGGAAGTAAGTTTATATAAAGTCAATATAATTTGTTTCCAGTGCATTCACATAGCACCTTGGTAATCAGGTTTGATCCAGGGAAGGAGAGGGTAGCTCCAATTCCTTGCATCAAAAGCCTTCCACCAGCATGGTGCACAAACTCTGATGGGTAATTATCGTAAGTGGTTTAAGCAATAAACCCGTGGGGTTATACTGTGTCATGAGAATCGGAAGCAAAATAAGGTTTGTTGGGATTTTTAACCCCGGAGGGTTAGCCACCCAGGATAACCCAAGAAAGTCAGTGCGTCATCGAGGACTGTCTAACTTATTTCCATTGGGTTCCTCAATCTTGTCCCCCAGGATGCGACCCACACCACAAGACTAACACCCAGGTACCCATTTGCTGCTAGGTGAACAGGACAACAGGTGTAAGGAAACGTGTAGAAATGTTTCCACCTGCCAGGAATCAAACCAGGGCCCTCCGTGTGTGAAGCGAGAGTTTAAGCCACCAGGCCACCGTCGAGGAATGTCTGTCTTATTTCCATTGACCCTTCAATCTTGTCCCCCAGGATGCCACCCACACCATCAACTAACACGCAGGTGCCTCCTTACTGCTAGGTGAACAGTGACTGCAGGTGTAAGGTGACTAACACCCTGGTACCTACTGATTGCTAGGTGAACAGGGACAGCAGGTGTAAGGTGACAAACACCCTGTCACCTACTGATTGCTAGGTGAACAGGGACAGCAGGTGTAAGGTGACAAACACCCTGTCGCCTACTGATTGCTAGGTGAACAGGGACAGCAGGTGTAAGGTGACTAACATCCTGGTACCTACTGATTGCTAGGTGAACAGGGACAGCAGGTGTAAGGTGACTAACATCCTGGTACCTACTGATTGCTAGGTGAACAGGGACAGCAGGTGTAAGGTGACTAACACCCTGGTACCTACTGATTGCCAGGTGAACAGGGACAGCAGGTGTAAGGTGACTAACACCCTGGTACCTACTGATTGCCAGGTGAACAGGGACAGCAGGTGTAAGGTGACTAACACCCTGGTACCTACTGATTGCTAGGTGAACAGGGACAGCAGGTGTAAGGTGACAAACACCCTGTCACCTACTGATTGCTAGGTGAACAGGGACAGCAGGTGTAAGGTGACAAACACCCTGTCGCCTACTGATTGCTAGGTGAACAGGGACAGCAGGTGTAAGGTGACTAACATCCTGGTACCTACTGATTGCTAGGTGAACAGGGACAGCAGGTGTAAGGTGACTAACATCCTGGTACCTACTGATTGCTAGGTGAACAGGGACAGCAGGTGTAAGGTGACTAACACCCTGGTACCTACTGATTGCTGGGTTTAACGGGGACAGCAGGTGTAAGGTGACAAAACACCCTGGTACCTACTGATTGCTGGGTGAACGGGGACAGCAGGTGTAAGGTGACAACCCTGGTACCTACTGATTGCAAGGTGACGGGGACAGCGGGTGAAAGGGTGACAAAACACCTTGGCACCTACTGATTGCTAGGTGAACAGGGACAGCAGGTGTAAGGTGACTAACACCCTGGCACCTACTGATTGCTAGGTGAACAGGGACAGCAGGTGTAAGGTGACTAACACCCTGGTACCTACTGATTGCTAGGTGAACAGGGACAGCAGGTGTAAGGGGACTAACACCTTGGCACCTACTGATTGCTAGGTGAACAGGGACAGCAGGTGTAAGGTGACTAACACCCTAGTACCTCCTGATTGCTAGGTGAACAGGGACAGCAGGTGTAAGGGGACTAACACCCTGGTACCTCCTGATTGCTAGGTGAACAGGGACAGCAGGTGAAAGGAAACATTCCCAGCGTTTTCACCCGTGCCGGGGATTGAACCACGAACACTCAGTGTGTGAGGCGAAAGCATTGCCAGCCTTGGATCAAAAGCCCCTCACCAGCATCAAGAAACCTCCAGTGGAAAAGTTTCAAGAGTAATAATACCTTTTCAGAAATCTCTGAAGCAATTTCACTGGTTTCCTGCCGAGTAGAGTACCAGCCATGTTTGTTTGTTAGGTATATAAGTGACACCGGCAGCTCGCACCGTATTGAACCCGACTTCCCGATGATAAGTACGGTGTACACTCAATGGCCCTATAAACACCAACAAGAAAAAAAGATAATAATAACATAATAATAATATCTTTATTTACTACAAGTACATGTACAAGGTATACAGACCATAGCTGACATCAATGATATACTACTATATAGAAAGCCGCTTGTTATGCTGAGCATTTCGGGCAAATTAGGTCAGTTTTGTCCCATGATGCGACCCACACCATTCCACTAATACCCAGGTACCTATTTTACTGATGGGTGAACATAGACAACCGGTGTAAAGGAACACGCTCAATGTTTCTACCCTCGCTGGGATTAGAACGCAGACATTCTCCGTGTGAAGCGAGAGCTTTAGCCACCAGTTTATTCAGGTATACCTGGAGTTTACCTGGAGAGAGTTTCGGGGGTCAACGCCCCCGCGGCCCGGTCTGTGACCAGGCCTCCTGGTGGATCAGCGCCTGATCAACCAGGCTGTTGCTGCTGGCTGCACGCAAACCAACGTACGAGCCACAGCCCGGCTGATCAGGAACTGACTTTAGGTGCTTGTCCAGTGCCAGCTTGAAGACTGCCAGGGGTCTGTTGGTAATCCCCCTTATGTGTGCTGGGAGGCAGTTGAACAGTCTCGGGCCCCTGACACTTATTGCATGGTCTCTTAACGTGCTAGTGACACCCCTGTTGTTAGGTAAGACACATATGCAACAGTTAGGTATCTTTATTTCGAAACGTTTCACCTACACAGTAGGCTTCTTCAGTCGAGTACAGAGAAGTTGATAGAAGCAGAAGAGACTTGAAGACGATGTAATCAGTCCATCACCCTTAAAGTTTTGAGGTGGTCAGTCCCTCAGTCTGGAGAAGAGTATTGTTCCATTGTCTGAAACAATATTGTTTCAGACAATGGAACAATACTCTTCTCCAGACTGAGGGACTGACCACCTCAAAACTTTAAGGGTGATGGACTGATTACATCGTCTTCAAGTCTAACTGTTGTCTGAAACGATATTGTTTCAGACAATGGAACAATACTCTTCTCCAGACTGAGGGACTGACCACCTCAAAACTTTAAGGGTGATGGACTGATTACATCGTCTTCAAGTCTCTTCTGCTTCTATCAACTTCTCTGTACTCGACTGAAAAAGCCTACTGTGTAGGCGAAACGTTTCGAAATAAAGATACCTAACTGTTGCATATGTGTCTTACCTAACAATCTGTCGGTATTTTATACCATTTTATTGTTCACAGATTATCATACATAGCAGCATATATGTAAAGTACCTAGGATAACCCAAAAAAGTCAGACGGAATGACTTATTTCCATTGGGGTCCTTTTAAGTAAGTGGAAATAAATGGTATAAAATACCAACACATTGGAAAAATAAACACATAAACAGTATATTGTAATCCTTTATTGACAACGTTTCGCCCACACAGTGGGTTTTATCAAGTCACAAACAGATTTGTAGATGAATGGTTCAGAGAACCGACATGTTGATAAATTAGACACGTGTGCAACTCTTGGGTATCTTTATTGAGGAAACGTTTCGCCACACAGTGGCTTCATCAGTCCATACAAAGGAGAATCTTGAAGAACAGGAGGAGAATGAGGTAATCAGTCCCTCAACCTTGAGTCGATGTGGTCAGTACAACTAACCCATCTCTTTGGGAAGGACCTACTGCCACTGGGGAATCCCGCCTACCAGTGACTATGCCCTCGTCTGTTACACCTGACGTTACTATATAAGCGCCAGGCTCCTTTCTTCTGCTTCAGAATCTCCACGACTATGGTGTTCTTCGCACCTACTCCTAGGTTGAGGGACTGATTACCTCATCTTCTGTATATAGTCCTACTGTCTTCAAGTTATGTCCTAGAAGTTGTATTGATAAAGCCACTGGATTGCGAAACGTCTACAATAAAGATACCCAGATGTTGCACATGTGTCTTAATTTTTATCTTGTCGGTATTATATACCATTCTTTCACAACTTGTCAGACACTGCAACATCATGGAATCTTGATTCTGAGGACATGTATATAACCTTCACGACTACGACAACTACTACTACAACTAACCCATCTCTTTGGGAAGGACCTACTTCCACTGGGGAATCCCGCCTACCAGTGACTATGCCCTCGTCTGCTACACCTGACGTTACTATATAAGCGCCAGGCTCCTTTCTTCTGCTTCAGAATCTCCACGACTATGGTGTTCTTCGCACATACTCCTAGGTTGAGGGACTGATTACCTCATCTTCTGTATATAGTCCTACTGTCTTCAAGTTATGTCCTAGAATTTGTATTGATAAAGCCACTGGATGGCGAAACGTCTACAATAAAGATACCCAGATGTTGCACATGTGTCTTAATTTTTATCTTGTCGGTATTATATACCATTCTTGCACAGCTTACAAACCGTTGGTAGGAGAGGTGCAGCAGTCATAGGTGGTGTCTCATTTGTTCAATGTGGAAGTAGGTCGTGCCCAAGAATTAGGCAAGCGAAGAATTCCCAATTGAACAAATGTGACACCACCTATGACTGCTGCACTTCTCCTACCAATGGTTTGTAAGCTCCTTCTCCGCACGTATGCCGTATTCTATTCAAGATTGATGGACTGACCACATCGACTAAAAAAAATCTAATCTAAATCCACATCGACTCAAGGTTGAGGGACTGATTACCTCATTCTCCTCCTGTTCTTCAAGATTCTCCTTTGTATGGACTTTGTATTACTATACATGTGAAAATTTGTGTGGACTGCCTCCAAGTGAGTCGCCTACCCTGGCAAACTCTGTTGACACCGAGCTCTGAGGTGGGTACCTCAGCCTCACAAGTGGCTTATAGGACAGATTTTCACAAATGATTGGTATTGCAAGAAACCTCGCCTGCATGCACGTATAAAGGACTAACTTACTTAGTGTTGCAGCATATATCCTGATCTTCACTTCACTAAGCTAGCCTTAACCCCTTTGGACTCCCCCTCAGAAACCGCGTGCAACCGGGAGCATTAATTCCTGCAATATTCAATCGTAATTAGTGTCCTGCCTGCACCTCAGAAATTCCTATATCCAAGAGGGTATGTATCCCCTAGTATAACTATGCAGACGCAGACACTAGCTTCAGACGGCTCTGAGACACTGGTACTTACTGGGCATGCTCTCTCTGTTGCACACCGGGCCCACAGTTAAAACTCACTCACGATCTCCCAAGACACTGGCCAGAACCCACGGGAAAAAGTGAAGATCTTGTCTTACTGTATGGGCTGATGGAGGTCATCTACGGTACATCGAGGTGCCTCTACCAGATTTCCCCAGGTCTCAGATGTGAAGACACGTGGGGGCGCCGTCTGCTGATCACGGCACGTCTTGTCCAGTTGGTGTCTGTCGTAAGAAGCGCGAGCTGGTCTCCCTTCCAGACCCTCGTCTCTTCGTTCAAACTAGGGCTGCCAGTTCTCCCTAGCTAACTTATCCTAGTGTTTGCCTACATTATCGGCCTATTACTACCTATGTTAAGGTCTTAGGTCTACATTATTATTATCTACAGTTGCCTTAGTAAACCTAATATTAATATACTATCAGTAGAACTACCTACTCCTTCCCTGAAGAGTAAATCTATAAATTAAATAAGCTCACCAACAACCGCCAACCAGAGAATGCTTTGTTTGTTTGGGAGGGTTTAAGGGCCGCCCGGCTCAGCCGTCCCATACGGCCATGCTGGATCTGCTGTGGAACTTTAGGGACCAAATAAATTTCCACAGACTGATGAAGCCACTGTGTGGCGAAACGTTTCCTCCATAAAGATACCCAAGAGTTGCACACGTGTCTAATTTATCAACATGTGGGTTCTCTGAACCATTCATCTACAAACCTGTCAGACACTGCAACTTCTTGGGATCTTAATACTTGGGAATTCTTCGCTTGCCTAATTCTTGGGCACGACCTACTTCCACATTGAACAAATGTGACACCACCTATGACTGCTGCACCTCTCCTACCAACGGTTTGTAAGCTCCTTCTCTGCACGTATGCCGTATTCTATTCAAGATTGATGGACTGACCACATCAACTCAAGGTTAAGGGACTGATTACCTCATTCTCCTCCTGTTCTTCAAGATTCTCCTTTGTATGGACTGATGAAGCCACTGTGTGGCGAAACGTTTCCTCAATAAAGATACCCAAGAGTTGCACACGTGTCTAATTTATCAACAAACAGATTTACCTGGGTGAAAGGTACGTCAGTATTTCAGAACACCAGTATGCAGGCAGATCGGACGATTTAGGGAATACCTGTGTTCAACACCGAAATTCACATAACCATTTAATCAACTACAGAAACGCAAGACTTATCTCCGGAGAAAAAAACACTCAATATCGCAGAATCCTGGAATCATCACTTATCTGTATATCCAACAACTTGAACCAAAACAACGGCTTCTATAACACAGCTGAACCGCTTGCCAAGAAAACTCTTCATCGTTATCCCACATAAGAACATAAGCATGAAGGAACACTGCAGAAGGTCTACTCATACATGTGTCCCGTCTCTTTTTAAAACTAACCAAAGTCCTAGCCTCTATCACCCTACTTGGAAGATTGTCACATGCAGGCTCAGATCCAACCTACCCAGAATTCTCCACCTGACTCCATCCTATAAATACTCACGTACCTTTCACCCAGGTAGATGTATTTGTGACTTGATAAAGCCCACAGTGTGGGCGAAATGCTGTCAATAATTGATCACATTATACTGCTTATGTTTATTTTTCCAAGTTAGTAAAGTAAGTAAGTAAGCAAAGTAAGTATAGAAAGCCGCTTGTTATGCAGAACATTTCGGGCTAATTAGGTCAGTTTTGTCCCAGGATGCGACCCACACCAGTCGCCTAATACCCAGGTGCCCATTTTACTGATGGATGAACATAGACAACCTGTTTAAGGAAACACGTCTGATGTTTCCTCCCCTTCGCCGGGAATCGAATCCGGACCCTCACCGTG